GTGTGTGTGTGTGTGTGTGTGTGTGTGTGTGTGTGTGTGTGTGTGTTTTGAAGAGACAAATAAAAAAAAGTTTTTGAACTCTGCAGATCTCCCAAAAGTGGTCCATTTTTCACGAAAACAGGCCCTTTTTTTTCTTTTTGTTTTTCAAAGGCCTTCAGGGGGCTAGTAGAGTGTTCTGGGGGGGGGGGAAATGACCAAAAAATGGCCCGTTTTTCGCTCATTTCTGCCCTCCCCAGCCCCCAGGAGCACTCTGAAAGCCTCCTACAGGCTCTGCGTGGCCATATTGGTGAAGGGGGAAGGAACAAGGTGCGTCTTATACTTCAAAAAATACAGTGTATATATAAGTTACTTTGTCCTTGCAATAATAGCGTCTGTGATTTTTTTATTCTGTCTCCTGAGTTCTGGTTCTGACTTCTGCTGCATGGGTATTGTATACATGCGTCATGATTTATATTATTGTACATAAAGAAGTTTCTTCTATAAATGAATCCTGCTGAATTATTTACTTGTGTGCTGGTTGGATCCAGGGGTGGGATTCAAAAATTTCAGCAACGGGTTGTCTGCCCGGTTGCTGGGTGGGCGTGGCCATGGTCGGTCTCCTGCACCATGGAGGGGGGGGGTCACAGTTTTTACCTTCCCCAGGCTCTGGAAGCTTTCCTCGAACCTCTGGGAGGGCAAAAACTGCTTCCCCGAGAGTCTGGAGGCCTCCGGAGGCCAGGAACAGGCCCGTTTCAGGCCTTCTTGAACTTCCAGGAGACCTGTTTTTCCCCCTCCCAGAGCCTCCATGTGGGCCCTCAACTTATCTCGCATTCAAAACGGGCTGCGTGGAGACTCCTGGGAGGGGAAGGGTGGGGTGGGCAGGGCCAGCCAGGGGTGGGATCTGGAGATTCTCCGAACCAGCCATAACGTTAGCTAAGGCTTCTCCCGAACCCGGGTGAACCTGTAGCAGCCCACCTCTGGTTGGATTGCTGTAAACTCTAACACTATTCAACATTTCATACCTTGGGGTTCCTTTGAGAGCATTCAGAACCTTCCTAATACTTAGGTTTTCTGAAAATAGGTCCCTAAGGAAAGGAGACGTAAAGAGTGACTACGATGAAATTCTACTCATGGGCACCATCCCAAGAGAAAACTGAGATTGAGAGTCGAGTGCTTGGTGTTTCCCGATCTTGTTTTCCTTGTAGATGTTTCATTACCAAGCTAGGTGACACCATCAGTGCAGGGGTGAGTGAAGTTTGGCTGGGTTTTATATGCAGTTGCTTGCCTTGTTAGTCTCAGGTGAGAGTGTGGTTTCTTCCTTAAGGCTTCCTTAGGGATCGAGCCAAGAATCTGCTCCAACCCTCCGTGTACTGCTCCTTACCTCCTCCTGCCGTTTGATGCAAGCCTCCCTCTCCTCCAGCTTGAGGATCAGGTCTTGGAGTCTCATCTGAAGGTCAGTGTCACTCCCTTGCTTCCTTGAGAAATCCTTCTGGAATTCGGACAACGAGCACTACAGAAACAACAAAGCTTGTATCAGTAAGTGATCCTACCAACAACTGCTCTGCAGTATCTAAATATAACAGAAGAGCAGAGTTGGAAGGGAGCTTGGAGGTCTTCTAGTCCAAACCGCAGCTCAAGCAGGAAACCCTACGCCAGGGGATGTCCAAACTTGGGAACTTTAAGACTTGTGGTCTGCATGGCTGGCTGGGGAATTCTGGGAGTTGAAGTCCACAAATCCACGTCTTAAAGTTCCCAAGTTTGGACACCCTTGCCCTACACCAATTCAGACAAATGGTTGTCCAATCTTTTCTTCAAAACTTCCAGTGTTGGAGCATTCACAACTTCTGGAGGCAAGCTGTTCCACTGATTAATTGTTCTAACTGTCAGGAAATTTCTCCTTAGTTCTANCTATTTCTATTATTTCTATTTCTATTATTTCTATTTCTATTATTGCTATTTCTATTATTTCTATTCCTATTCCCATTGTTCAAAGCAGGACTATAATCTGTCTATTGCAACAATTGCCACAACTAGATTGAAAGCCAGCCAGGGTTAATGGTTTGGGTGTCAGGCTAGAAATTGGGAGACTGTGAGTTCTAGTCCCACCTTAGACACAAAGCCTGGGTAAATTTCAGCCAGTCGTTCTCTGTCAGCCCTAAATCAGTTCTAAAATCTTGCCAAGAAAGCTACAGCGACTAGTCAAAGGTTGAGTTACACACACACAGGCACACACGCACACACACATACACACCAAGAGTTTGTAGAAGGATTCTAGGCCACCCTATTTTTTAAAAAATCCAAGTATTCCAGTTGAGCTGTATGTCTAATGAAATATACTTTTATTTATCTACTTTTAGAAATGGAAGACTACATACGGCATAAACATTCTTGCACCGTCTCTATTTATTTTTTTCTTTGGATTTTTTTATGTCTTTCCTTTTATAATTTTGATTTTCTCCAGCTGAGTGGGAGATCAAATTTAACGTTAACTGTGATAAAAGCAGTGAAACCTTTTCTATTTCAACCTCTCCTATGAAATGCAATTGTCAATCTTAAGCTAAATTAAGCCCTGCCAGAGTGTTGTTTTTTTAATTACATTTTTTTTAAAAAAGGACATCCTTGTATATTTTATTCTCAGTAAGTGTATTTTTTTCAATAACTTTTAGCTTTTGCTGTTTTGCTATGGCCTAATGGTTGGTTTGTATCATTTTTAAGTCTGCTGGCTTTTGGGGCTTTAATGCTGATCGAGGCAGAAAGATTGGGGTACCCAAGCAATAAACATTTTTTCAGAAACAAAAAGAAACCAGGTGCTCGCAATAGCATTACTTTTTTGTGATGATGGTCTTTGTGATTCCTTGGGATGGGTTGATGGCTAATTTTTCTTGCCTCAATCTGAAGATTTCCTAAAAGAGTTTAAAAAAACAACAACATTTCAGGCAAAAAGTACATCTTCCCGTATAGACTATTTGTCAGTGTATAAGAAATTATGAGCTGGGATAGCCATAACAACAAGTCAGCCAATAGGTGACTAAGAAGCAGGATCTATTGTGAGCCATGGGAGACGGCTTGGGGCCTGGGCGTAGCTTAGTTTGAGTGGTATGTATGTATGTGTGTGTGTTTGTGTGTGTGTGTGTGTGTGTGTGTGTATTCGAATCCCAGTAAGGGTATG